CATCCCCGACCCGGTCTGCTCGATCACGATCGTCGTCTACCCTGCACAGCTCGATCGGCACGGGAAACTTGTCCAGGCTCTCCTGGGCCACACGCCTAGTCGATACCTGTCCAGACAGCCCCTCCTCAGCTCCCCCATGTTGGGCCTCATACCCAAGCACAGATTCACAACCGGCCCGCTCATCGACCGCCCCATCACGGCCAGGAGAGAATTCAAACGAGCAACCCTAGCCGCCCGGATCCCAGCCGCCGTACGGCTCACCGACGCCGGCGTTGCTAGCTCCAATATCCCCATCCTCTTCTTCTTCTTACGTACCACTCTAGTCCAAGCATCTTGCGGAATAAAATCGGACAAGGTTAGTGGTTGGATGCATACCTTAGGCAGTGGCCCTTTCCAAGGCCGAATCGCCGTCGCCGCCGTCCTCCGGTGAACGATCCGACGAACCACCTCCACCCTATCCTCTAAACGCAGCCCAATCCGCGCCGGATCATCGCCAGGCACAATCTCGTCGACCAGCGCGCCACCTCCTCCTCCGAGTATCCAGGGTTGAATGCCTCACAGATCACGTCGGAAGGCGTCGGCGAGTAATCGGCCGGCGATCTGCCGGCGGGGTCCCCGTCGTCGTTGTCCTCATCTTCCGAACCAGCGAGAGCCCAGAACCGCCCCCCTACTCGCCTCTTAGAAGGATCCGCCGGCATCGGCGGCCGGCTCGCCGCGCTCGCCTCAGTCGCCACGCGAGTCGCCTCAGTCGCCACGCGAGTCGCCTCAGTCGCCACGGAGTTAAAAAAGTTCATCCGTATGATGCTCGTTGGTAAATTTTCGCCGTACTGACACGTATGCTAAATATTGATTTATGTGTGTTACTGCGTTACCTTATCTCGCCTCCCAGCAATTGTCAAAAGAGTAGTCCCAACTCCTATGCAAAGCGAAGTCAGGTATATAAGCATAAGAGACACTAAGCCTAACAACAAATAACCTTAGTCACAACTAAGCATGGATGACTTGTTCCAACAACAAACCAAGCAAGGATTGTTATTTTTAACAGCAAACTAAGCATGGACTATTATTTCTAACAGCAAACTAAACAAGGATTATTATTTCTAACAACAAACGTGGATGGGCCATAAAAGAGCAGGTTAACTAACAAACATAATCTAGCATTCCACATTTAGGTTTTCCAATTATGCAATGCCAAAAGTGAACCAAACAACAGTTCAGTTTACATAATCCCATGGAAACACCTACTTCCTTCGATCCAAAACCTAGCTCTTTTAGGACAGGACTGGGTCTTCAATATGGTGATTTGACCAATAATTTCTGCATAAAGTGTTTATGTCACGTCAAAAAAATTACATTACAAACTACTCCCTTCGTCCGAAAATACTTGTCGAAGAAATAGATGTATTTAGACGTATTTTAGTTCTAAATATATCCATTTTTATTCATTTCTCGGACAAGTATTTCCAGACAGGGGGGGTACATGTCATGATAAATCTAGAAATATCAGCTGATGTTACAGATGCTGGTAGTTCTACCTTTATAGATGGTCAAACTTAGAAATGTTTGACTAGTAAAATTCTACTCCCTCCATCCCATAATGTGGGATGGAGGGAGTAGAAGACTTACATTTTGGATTAGTGGTACTCCCTCCATTCGGAGTTACTTGTCTCGGAAATGGATATATCTAGAACTAAAATACGTCTAGATACATCCATTTACGCAACAAGTAATTCCGAATTGAGGGAGTAGTACATAAAGACAGACAGCTATCACTAAACTCTTCGGGTTGATCACCACTCACCTAAACATAGGTCCCACAGCTCCACCATAGAACCAAAACTGGCCACCTCTTAAAGAGCTCATGCTTCGGACCCATCCTTCCTCCAAGGATTACTGAATCCATTGCGAGCTATCCTCCAAAGTAACACACCAGCTCAATTTATGTTGAGCTACCGTTGAAGGCATTTGGCACATTAGAGGCTAAAACTCTTAATTGGATTCAAACTCAATGCACCACAATTACCGAAACCAGATGCAGTGCAGCAACCACACATACCCTCCTTCTGAGTGCAGGTTCACATCCTCTGCATATTGCTCGACAGCGTTGCATCTAAGATCCGCTCCTTGAACTCATCATCGCTGCTCGTGAGCATTTCCTTTAGTGACATATCAACGCCCCTCAGCCTCAATGCTTGGTGCCTCGGCTTGATCCTCCCCTCCAAGCTGAACGCGAAGTAGTGTGGGAACTCGGTGAGCTCCGCGGCTGGTTCCATGCCCATGCCGTCAGCGAGGAACTTGAGCTTGGGCGTGAGGTTGGTCTCGATACCATAGGAGAGAATGGCGGGGGCGCGGCGAATAATGGTGCAGATGGCGGGGTCTGGGAGCCCCGTGGCTTTGCCAAGGAAGAGGAGCTTGGGGAGGAGTGTGCGGTCGACGGAGAAAGCGAGGAGCAGGGCAGCAGCGAGCGGAAGGGGTCTCCGTCGCAGGGAAACGCGGTGGCGAAGGAAGTAAAGCGCGGGGCGGAGGGTATCCGGGATGGACGCTGCGAGGAGGCGAGGGGAACGGACCACCGCGACGCGGAGGAGAGGAGGGGGCAGCGGCGCGGCGGCGGAGAGGAAGCGGAGGGACTCCTCAGGAGGAGAGGTGAGGAGCGACGGGAATGCCGAGAAGACGCGGGAGGCGTCGCCGGCGGAGAGTCCGTGTGAGAGGAGGAGGCGGAGGGAGGCATGGAGAAGCGCGAGCGGCGCGGAGCGGAGCTCAGGATGAAGGGCGAGGAGCGGGAACGGGTCGAGATGGAGCTCGGCCGAGAGGAAGTGGAGCTTGCGGCGGAACTCCACACCGCCGCCTCCGGCGAGGCGGGCGGGCAGGATTTGGGCGGGATGCGGAGGCGGAGGCGGAGGCGGGAGGCGCGTGTGGGCGAGCATCACGGGGCCAGAGTTTGGGTTTCTGGGAGGCGAGTTATCCACTGAAGAACCAGTGTGTTTCTTTCCATTGTGTGTGTGTTTTGAGTTGAGGGGCTGCTGTGTTTGCTAGGCGCTGGTCGGCCGTCCCGTAGCCCTCCGGTTCACCTTGTAATAATCGTCAGATTAGAATCCATCGCAGTAGAAAAAAAGTTCACGCAAAAAACCAAGGGTTGTTCCTCGTACCGGCGTAGCCCATGCCCCATGATCGATTTGCCCGCAAAAATCAGTGCCACCGCGCTTCACGGCCGGCAACGCTAACAGGCCAGCTTAATACATCTATGAAGATTTGCCCTGTTCCAGCGTGTCGGAATCGTTATGAGCCGTCGATCTGCCATCCAGTGGCTCCCGTAGGAAGATAACGGTTCGCTACCGGAATGTCATCTCCACCGTGGATCTCCCATCCAACGGTTGTCATCGCTCCGGAGGTCGCTGTTGATCGTCCGACAACGCATGTGCTCTGGTTTTGCTTTCTGCTTTGCTTTTCACCTGTAATTGCTATTTAGCCACCGTTCCTTCTCCATTTTTGGACTCGATTATTGTGGGTATAAACCCTAGCCGCCGGTGGCGAGCTTTGCTACTTTTCCCTTTCTGAGCAATACAAACCCTAGCAAATTTCCCCAAATTTCCTCTCTGAAATCACGATGCTGAGCGTTTAGTTAGTTCGATCCATGTCAGGTTCCTAACAATTAGTATCAGAGGCCCAATCGGTTCTCGGAGGCGTTGGATCTGGCGAGTGGAGGTTGGCGAACAAGCTGGAAAATCCCTCTGCTTGTGTCGATTTGGCGGCGGCGTGGTTGGCGGCCGGAGTGGCACAGTTCGGAGGCAGTCTGAATTTCAGTCTGGTTGCTGGAGAGTCTTTCTCCTGTGGTAAAATCCCAGATTCGGAATCGGGCGGTGCTTCTTGGAGGCGGGCGGCGTCGGCGACGGTGTTGGCGACGGTGGATACAAGAGCGCGACAAGCCCCTCCCTTCCCTCCCTTCCTCCCTTCTCGAGGCGGTCTGCTCATCGAGGGAAGCCATGTCTCTCCCGGAAGGCTCTAGCGACACTGGCGTCTTGCAGCTCCAGTCGTTGGAACTCGATATCAAAACCCTGCAACGATATCGTGAGGAAGACAAGATGGAATTCCAGGATTTCCAGTCCATGGTCAACAAGAACTTCGTCACCATGCAGCAGAATTTTGACAAAATCCAGGATAACTTCAAACGTTTGTTGTTGTTTCCAGAGCAGGGCGACGTTCCTGATGAACAGTCAGCACAAGGGAGCGTACAGCACAAGCTGCCTCTGTTGAATCACCACCCAATGCATCAGGCAGGCCCAAGCAACTACTGGCGAACACACCTCCCTCAGTAGCTACGCAAGAAAAGGAGGCTCAGACCATAACTGGAACAGCGGTCTTGTGCGATCCTGCGGGCAAGGAGCTCAATTTGTATGGCACTCCCGAAGCTCCATATCGCCATCCGAATTTTGCAAGTAACAGAGCAGTGGCACCACAATAAGTATAGCAAGCTCCACCCCCACAGCAACACCCCATACAGCTTGAAGATCACACACAGGAAGAATGGCCAGAGGGAGGAGATAGAGGTAGAGGGCTTGGCTCTCCATTCGACAACTGAAGAAATGTGCTCACAGTAAAACCAGCTAAACTGAATATCTCTGAGTTCAGTGGAACACATCCTGAATCATTGATTCAGAACTTGGAGTAGTACTTTGCTGCTGCCAGAACTCCCTTGGAGCACAAAACTGAGTTAGCAGTGTCCTATTTGCAAGGCCCTGCCATACAATGGTGGAGAGGAACTGGATTTTCGCCACAAAATGTGCCATGGCACAGATTTTGCACTTATATTGCAGATAGGTTCTCACTAGATTCTGCTTGTGATATTGTTAACTCCTTCCATGCAATATCGCAAACTTCAACTATGGTTGTGTATGTTGAGCAATTCGAGCAACTGGTGAACTGCATGAGAAGAGAAAATCCGGCTATACCAAATGACTACTACGTCACCAGTTTTCTGTCTGGACTGAATCCTTACATCAGAAGTCATGTGGAATGTTTTAAACCTCCTGATATGCAGACAGCTATGTGGTATGCTAGGAGAATGGAAAAGGCTACTGCCCCTGCTCCATCCAAGCCTTACTTCCCTCAACCCAAAAGACAGGTGATGTTTGAACTAGCAAAAACACCCCTAGCTGCTACCACACAAAACAGAAACACAATTATCCAGCAGGCCAAACAAAACCAAGTCTGCTACAAGTGCAGAGAACCATGGGTTCCTGGCCATAGGCAGGTGTGAAAAATGAGCCAGAAAGCTCAAGTGCAAGCACTACAAACAACAGAAGAGGAAAATGCAGAAATCATTTATGTCACAGACTTTGAGGATCCTGATTTAGAACAAGCTGCACCTCCTTCTGACAATGCTGTGTTACAGGTTTCTATGCATGCTGCCATGGGCATTGGGGCAATGAAGAATACTTTTATTTTAACTGTTAAGGTAGGCAAAACTGTAGCTACAGCACTTGTGGACAGTGGGAGCACTTCCACATTTGTATCCCCTGATGCAGCTGCAAAATTGCCTGTTACCCCAACCCCAAATCCCAGGATTAAAGTGCTAGTAGCAAGTGGAGGAGAATTATGGAGTGAGTTCACTTCAAAGAACTGCCCCTATGAAATACAGGGCACACAACTACAGGACACCTTCAGAGTTCTGAAATTGAAGGGATATGATATGATCTTGGGAGTAGACTGGCTAAAGAAATATAGCCCATTTCTAATGGACTTCATTCACATGGAAATGAGGATTAATGTTGCACCACAGACTCAAGTAACATTTGTGGCTGAAACTGTACCCCTGTCCTCACTAGTGAAGGCCACTGATAATGCAGAAAAGTTAATGGACCAGGCTGTTTGTGGATTTTTTTCTCCTGTCTACCTGTTACACTGTGAATGCTGCTACTGCTCACGAAATTCTAGAAGAACTCCAAGGTATAATTCAGGAGTATGACAAGGTGTTCAATACTCCTACTAAACTACCTCCAAGCAGAGCCTGTGGTCGCAGAATCCCACTCATAGAAGGGGCAAAGGTAGTAAATCAGAGACCATACAGAGTACCACATCACCAGAAAGAAGCACTTGAAAAGATCATCTCTGAACTTCTGAAAGCTGGTCTGATTAGACCTAGCACTAGTCCTTTCTCCTCTCCTGTGCTTCTAGTTAAAAAGAAGGATGGAACTTGGAGACTCTGCATTGATTACAGGAAACTTAATGCTATCACAATAAAAAACAAGTACCCTATTCCTGTAACTGAAGATCTCCTTGACCAGTTAAAAGGAGAAACAGTCTTCTCTAAAATAGATCTCAAAAGTGGATATCATCAGATAAGGATGGCTGAAGAAGACATACACAAAACAACATTTTCCACCCTACAAGGCCACTTTGAATTCCTGGTTATGTCCTTTGGTTTGACCAATGGCCCTCCATCATTTCAGTCTCTCATGAATTTCCTATTTGGCCATTTTGAATTTGTGGTAGTGTTCTTTGATGATATCCTGGTTTTTAGTTTAACCATGAAAGAACACAGGATACACCTCCAGAAAGTATTCCAAGTCCTACAAGAAAATAAATTGTATGAAAAGTTGGACAAGTGCTCTTTTGGTTAGTCTAAAATAGAATACTTGGGCCATGTGATCAGCAAGAAAGGTGTGTCAACTGATCCCACTAAGATTGCTGCTATTAAGGAATGGCCAGCCCCAACAACAGTAACTGAACTTAGAAGTTTTCTGGGTCTGAGTGGTTATTACAGAAGGTTTATACAGAGATATGGAGTTATCTGCAGGCCCCTCTTTGACTGCCTGAAAAAGAACTCCTTCTCTTGGCAGCAAGAACAGCAAGAAGCTTTCACAGCCATTAAGGAGAAACTTACACAAGCCCTTGTCCTGGCCCTACCAGACTTCTCTAAACCCTTTGTGTTAGAAGCTGATGCTAGTGGTTATGGCTTAGGTGATGTGCTGATGCAGGATGTGAAACCATTGTCCTATTTCAGCAAGTCCATTGGGCCCAAAGCAGCAGCATGGTCTACATATGACAAGGAAGCTCTTGCAATAATAGAAGCTGTCAAGAAGTGAAAACACTGTTTCTTAGCTACATCCCTGATAATCAGAACTAACCAGGAGAGCTTGAAATACATCCAGGAACAGAAACTAACTTAAGGAATACAACACAAATTATTGCTCAAGCTGTTAGGCTACAATTTTACTGTTGAGTACAAAAAGGGCAAAGAAAACAGAGTTGCTGATGCTTTATCAAGGGTCAAGCACATGATATCATCTCTGTCTACCAGTTTCTCCACCCCTAAATGGATTTCTGAGGTGGTTAAAAGGTACAAATCAGATCAGAAATTCAAAGATCTTATAGACGAGTTTGCAACTAGTAAAAGCAATGACAATGGATATACATTCAAGAATGGTATCTTGAGGTTTTAAAACAAAAATGTCATTGGAACTGACACTTCCTTGAGGCAGGATATATTACAAACTTTCCATGCATCAGAATTGGGGGGTCATTCTGGGGAGCAACATACCACAGAGTTCACTTGGTTTTCCACTGTCATGGCCTCAAACAGGATGTCATTGACTTCATCAAACAATGCCCTGTCTGCCAAGTCAACAAAGCTGAACATACCCCCTACCCTGGCCTGTTGGAACCCCTGCCAGTTCCAGATTTTGCACGGGCTCACATCAGCATGGACCTTGTTGAGGGGCTTCCTATCTCTGAGAACAAAGATCTTATTTTGGTGGTGGTAGACAGATTTACCAAATATTCCCATTTCATTGTCATGAAACACCCCATAACTGTTCAGACTGTAGCAAGAGCATTTTCTGACACAGTGTTCAAACTCCATAGAATTCCCTTGGTTACACTACTAGGAAAAGGGCTATAGATGAGATGGACACTAATGGCGCACCTG